GGAGTTTTGGAAGATTGGTCACCTTCAATGCCTGCATGTGGATTAGACACACCCAAGTGAAACATTCCTTGGAGGATCGAATCATAGAAGATCAGGGTTGGAAGGGACCTCAAGAGGTCATCTACTCCAACCCCTGCTCAAAGCAGGACCAACCCCCAGACAGATTTTTGCCCCAGATCCCTAAATGGCCCCCTCAAGGATTGAACTCACAACTGTGGGCTTTAGCAGGCCAATGCTCAAACCACTAAGCTATCCCTCAGGCCAAGCCTATAACAGGGTTAAAAAAATAATTAGATAAATTCATGGAGGATAGATTCATCAATGGCTATTAGCCAGGATGGGCAGCAATGGGGTCCCTAGTCTGTTTGCCAGAAGCTAGGAATGGGCAACAGGGAATGGATCACTTGATGATTACCTGTTCTGTTCATCCCCTGTGGGGAACCTGGCATTGGCCACTGTCGGTAGACAGGATACTGGGCTAGATGGACCTTTGATCTGACCCAATATGGCCATTCTTATGTTCAGTGAACTCAAATTGTCAAGATTTATGCACTCCTCTCCTCTGGTGTATTACTACAACATTCCACCTTTGTTATTAGAATTTTAAAATAATATTTGAATCCATCTCAGTCTTACCTGAGGACCACCAATGACAAAGCGGCCGCTTGGCTGCAGGTGGTAGATTGTATCATCATCCAGGTATTTTGCAGGCACAACAGCTTTGATCACTTTCTCCTTTAGGGCATCCCTCATCTCATCCAAGCAGACATCTTCATCATGTTGAACAGATATGACAATCGTGTGGACTCTAATAGGGATGACAGCACCACGGTCTTGCATGTACTGCACGGTCACCTGAAATGATTCCCCAGACCAGGAGAAGAAAACCAAGTCAGGTACAGCCACATCTACAGCAGATCCTAACGGGGTACAGCAGTGCTCTCCACCCTCCAGACTGCTAAGTAGGACGGAGAATACAAACTAGTGTCATTTCATTATTGGCCCGCCACTCCCCAAAGGCGGAAATTCATTCTGCTCTTGGCTTGCTATAGCCAGGCTCTCGTACATGCCCATTACTGCAGTGTATGACAGGGCTCCACTTACCTGAGTTTTAGAGTCAGGTCGCAGCCAGGGCAAGGTGCCATTGCGACGCAAGTCTGCCAGCTTGGCATTCAGCTTGTGTGCTAAAACAATGGTCAGGGGCATGCACTCCTCAGTTTCATCTGTAGCATAACCGAACATCAAGCCCTGTGGGAGAGAAGAGGGGTCTGAAACCTCAACTTCAACAGAACCACTTACTGACAAAGTGCTAAATATGGTCCTATAAACTAGAAAATGTTTCCACAAGTTGGGAACAGCTTACTAGAATACTAACCTGGTCCCCAGCACCAATATCCTCTTCATTCCTGTCTAGATGGACTCCCTGGGCAATATCAGGAGACTGCTGCTCCAAGGCTACCAGTACATTGCAAGTCTTGTAATCAAATCCTAAAATACACAGCAGAATTTCAGGTTCACAGAATAACTGCACTGTCCAGCTAATCCTAGAAAGTTTATCATATTTGTTCCTTAGAACACCTAGCAAATTGGTTACAGATACTTTTAGAAGCCAACAGCCTTATACTCAAAGCTAGAAACAAAAGCTTTCCAAACCCAGAGAAACAAGTGGCTGGAGGCACTTACCTTTGGAAGAATCATCATAACCAACATGTCTGATTGTATCACGCACAACTTTCTGGTAGTCAACAGCCGCTCTGGATGTGATCTCGCCGGCCAGGAGGATCATCCCAGTCTTTGCAACAGTTTCTAGAAGAGGATAAGAGGATCTCCATCAACTTCAGTGTCACTCACAGAGAAACAAAACAGCTCTCATACGATAGCAAAAGTGCATCTAACGGGCAATTTCTCCCCTTTTCTAGGCTACATATCCTCACCACAAGCAACTTTGGCATCTGGATCCTGCTTAAGGTGGGCATCAAGGACAGCATCACTGATTTGGTCACAGATTTTATCTGAAAAGAAATCAAACAGCCAATCACTCAATGCACGGTGCACCTCCCTGAATCCCTTTCTCTTTCCGCTCAGTATGTTGAGCTTCAGCCAATTCTGGGAGTCTCCACGCAAATTTGTCAACAGAAAGCAACAACTGCAGTGTTACACAACCCCAGGCAGAAATGCTGTTATCTTGCACTGTAATTTCCTGTCCCTCAGATGCAGCACTTGTCCCATACTATACAGGAGGGTTTTTTTGGGGGGGCGGGGAGAGAAGGGGGTGTGTTAGTGTGGAATCCCAAGCATTTTCTAGTGGAACTTTTAGGATCAAGTTACTATTATGTCAGGGTTTAAATTTAGCCACTTACTCTCTGTGATGTAGCTATAAGACAGGATTTTGACATTGTGCAACTTACCCCCGCAGCCCTGAAGAGGACAATGCACTGCATTGCCAAGTGATTCACTTAAGCACCCAAACCACAGCAGCATCTGAGCTGCAAGTGGTTCTGCCCTCAAGCACAAATAGAAGACAACAGCTTCAATTTGGTTTGTACAGGTGTTTAATTTTAGAAAACTGTTCTGACAAAATGGCCACTTGCAGCAAGACCACTCTAGTATGCACTCTAGATTTGCACACGTACAGCAAGAGACCGCATGTGCCCAATGTAGCCCCACTGATGGGAATTTTAACTTGCAATACTGTAGGCTGCAGTCATGTTGCCATTAGCCATGGCTGCCAAAAAGCAACCAAGTTGTGAGCAGCAAGCAGCCAGCCTGTGACTGCAGAACTGGTTTCAGCTGGTCAGCCAGCCTGCGCATAGCTAGTCGCTCTAGCATGACTGCTGCAGACAATTATTCTAGAGCAATCTGAAACCCCTAAAGCACTAAGGGCTTTGCAAGAATTGTTCAAATTCTGTTATGAATAAGCTACTCACTACTCAGGGCTAGATGTCGTCCTTGACAATGACCTTTCAGATCAGATTTGGAGCAGACTGACATAATTCTGTGTGCTGCACAGGAATGAAATGGAATAAAGGAAAGCCTGACACTGAGCTAGCCCTCCCATCATCTTTAATCCATTCATTCCTCAGATCTTTCACCAGTCACCCTGAATAGCAGTGCTGGAAATGATGTGACAAAATAAGCATAATTTTCTAGACCACCCAGGGAGGGAAAAAATTCCCCTGGATGTCATTTACAAAAGAACACTTAATCTTTTACACCTTGAGGAAAGATTTTATTAACAGCCCCCAGATAATAAAACAGACTAAAGGGAGGACTTAATGACATCAGAAAATTTCTGGTTAGGATATCTATGCCAGCAACAATCATTTGAGCCCTGCTGTCCCTAGTCTTGTAGTGAAGACAGACTGATATTAGTGGAAGTAGTTTGTTGAAACCAGTTCACCTGTTTGGCCAGACGATAAATGGCCAATGGTTTGGAAAAGGCAGTGACCTACACACAGCAAATGCCACTGAGCAGTCTATTAAGTTGATTGTGCAATGTGAAAGTGATTTATAATGGGAATGGGAATCTAATAGAACAGAGCCCCAAAATGGAGACTGCAGTCAGAAAAAACACAATGTTGTTATACTGAAACAATGCCAGGCCTGAGATAGTATGTTAATCCTTCCTTGTCATGGAAATGAAGGAATCTATCAAAGAACCCATTGACCTCATATGTTTGTCCAAAGCAGTTCCACACAGAACCGGACACTATTTTAGACACTTTCTGTAGTAGGGGTGAGGAAAAGGTAGTGATCTGTAGACCTGTCAGTGTTCAAGTCTGAAACACAAGGTTATTAAAGAGTAGCATATATACCATCTGGATTTATGTTTTTATTTAAACCTCAGTTACTATGTTCAGCATCCTTTGAATTCTTTTCTTCCCAGAAATACAGCATTGGAGTGTGGAGACGCTGTCTCAGTACCCCAGCCATCACAGCACTTCACAAAAGCTTTACACAGATAAACAAAAACGAGTCAAAGGGAGGTGAAGTGACTTGCTCAAGGTCACTGAGCAGGTCAGTGATGGAGCTCGGAACAGAATCCACACCGACAACTGCCCTAATCACTAATCTGCTCTCTCCCTACTGGCACTGTGAGGCTATGGCGATGACGACCATAGAGGTCCCTAGATAGCTTGGTCTCTCCAGCCCAAGAGAGAGAAATGGGACATACGCACCAGCTTTAAGTGCTCACGCCCTTGTAAGTGACTTGGTGCAAAGGGGAGGTGGGTTTCCAGAACAGGTGCAGCAGACAAGCAACTGCACCAAGAGGGCTGCAAGCGTCTTGAATGGTCCCAAAGCACCAGGAGGCAGCTGTGTGTTGTGGGTGTCGCTTTACTGGAGGGGAAGTGCTTAGTCATGTGCGCGGGGCTGACTCACCGCCCCCCTCCCAGCGCACACCGCGTGGAGGTCCCGGCATCACCCCGGGGCGCCATTCCGCCAGCCCCCACATGGCGAAGCAGGCGCGAGCCCCCCAGGTGACCCCACCTCCCCGCTCCGGCGGGAGCCAGCCCAGGGCCCGGACAGGGTCCCCCCGGCTCCTTTGCAAGGAGGCTGATCGGTCCCCGGCCCCGGCGCTGCAGAGCCACGATGGCAGAGACTGACAATGGACGGCAAGGGGCCACCTCCCCGAGGGAGGAGGGGGGGACTCACCCCCCCCCCACCCGAGCCTCCCGCCCCGGTCCCCGCGCGGGGACCACGTGCCGCCCGGCCGAGCCTGCAATGCGGCGCGCGCCCTCGCGGATAATGGCGGAGGCAGCGGGAGCGCGCGCTCGGCCGAGTTTCATCATCGCCCTCCCCTCCGGCGCGCGCATCCCCCCGCCCCCCACAGAGACCGGACTGCTCCGCCGCGTGCACGCGCTTCCTCCTGAGGAGCCCGCGCGGCCGGGCCGATTTCCCGCCCCGTAGAACGAGGCGAGGCCGCGCCCCGCCCTCCCCAGACTCCGCGGCCGTTACCTGGGTGCCCCTCCCCCACGGACTCGGAGGTGAAGAGGAAGCTGCCCTCGTCGATGAAGGCCTCGTGAAAACCGTTGAGCTGCCCGTTCATGGCGACACCGGAAGGAAGCGGCGAAAGAAGAACAAAGGCCCGCAAGACACCAGCCTCGGCAGAATGAGAGCAGCGCCTCCAAGGCACCGGTATTTATACCCTCCACGGCCCCGCCCCCGGCAGGCCCCGCCCCGCCGCAACGCGCCAATCTCGGGGCGGGCGGGGAGAGCGAGCTCGGACTCAACCACACTCCGGGAAGGGGGCCACGTTATGTAATAAATCGCCCCTTCCCCGACACACCGACCAGCTCGCTCGCAGACGGAGGAAGGGCATTTCTTATAACTGACCATAGCGCAAGACAATAATTCATGTCCTTAACTCGGCCCCGGGAGGGCGGCACAGGGAAGTGCTCTGTCTCCCCCCCGTGTCTGCCACTTGGACTGATCCCAGACAATAGGTACTAGCTCGAGGCGACTGTCGCCGCAGGGAGGCGCAGGAGGGAAGTGCTTCTGCGCAGGCGCAATGACAGCCT